GCCCCCCCCCCCCCGAGCAAAATATATCCAACATAAATCAAATGGCACTGCTGGCACTGCCCCCTCCACCGAAAAAAATCTGAAGTGCCCCCCGCCCGGGGGAAAATTTCTGAAATAATCACTGGTCGGCTGCATGTGTGAGAGATTGGACTGTCTTGTTCAACTGGTTGTACCACAGCAATAACCTGCATTTCATTGTTTGTGTATTTAAACTGTAAGCCACCGCACCACATTGCTACATCATAAACTGCTGACATTCGTTTGGTTATCAATGGCTATAAATAGTACATCGATTGTCCAATCGATATGTTTTATTCTTAGTTTCTTACTTAGTCAATTCGAATTTAAAATGGTTAAGGCCCATACTTATTTTTAAGTTGCCATTATCTTGACCACACGTAGTCTTGTTAGTTTTTAAAAAAAAATGATTTATGATATAAAATTTTACCATTATTATGTTAGTATAAAGCTTGGGTTCTGAGCTAGCGGGCCGGTGTCTGAACCCCTGTGGGTGTGTTAGGCAGTGTCCAGGACTACGGGAGACCCGGTGAAAAAAATCAAGTTAATTTACATTTTACTTTGAATTTTTTTTTTTCTTGGGGGAGGGTGCGAGAAATATATTTTTAAATTGCGATGGGGTGCAGGAAACGATTTGAATGCAAGAAGGGGTGGGTGCAGTGCAGGAAAAAACAAGGTTTAAAACCTCTGGTATAAAGAAAGAGCACCATGGATTTAGAAATTTGTTTTCAATTTATATTTTTATCATAATTATTTATTTTTATTGTAGGCGATAAAAAAAAAATTGGATCGCTAAATGTGAAATAAGGGGAGAGATAAGGGGAGAGATAAGGGGAGAGATAAGGGGAGAGATAAGGGGAGAGATAAGGGGAGAGATAAGGGGAGAGATAAGGGGAGAGATAAGGGGAGAGATAAGGGGAGAGATAAGGGGAGAGATAAGGAGAGAGATAAGGGGAGAGATAAGGGGAGAGATAAGGAGAGAGATAAGGGGAGAGATAAGGAGAAAGATGAGGAGAAACCACTAAAAAAAACATTAAAAAATATTTAGAAAAATTTGTACTGAAGATCAAATTTGGAAATAAAAGTCAATATGAAGTTGATTTCTGGACCATCTCTATAGTAACATACTTTGGTTGACATATTAGTCTCAGTTAAGTGCATAGAATTTGAGTAATTTATTCAAATACAAAATCTTCCACAGCAGCGATGATGAGTTATCAATGTTTCAAATTTCAAACCAACCAAAAATGTTCACTGTATCGCACTCACTCGGTTGAGTAATGTTTGTCATGAAAAAAGATGGGACTTTTGTAGACAACTCTTCTCCGTCCATGCGAAATAAACCTTTTCCCTCGTTAACTCCCCTTAGTCATCTAAAAATGTTTACACGACGTCTGAAAATCCAGCTGATTTGACGGAGGTAAGTCACCTGGTATAAATCTCTTAGATATATTTTTGCTTCTGGAATGGCCTCTTCTTTTACGCAACTGATCCCCAACCCCCCTTTACTCAAAATGTTTTATATTAATAGTACTGAGTGAAATTAGGTAAAAAGATAACTTTTTTTTTTTCTATGGAAATATTGTTATAATTTTTTTTAAAGTCACTGTTTTTGGAAAGTAGGCCCCGCCCCTATTGCTACTTTTGATACTGTGAATTTTGTTTCCTAAGTCTTTGCTATGAATTGAACGACAGTATCTTCTCTGTCGACTGTTTTTTTTTTTTTTTTTTTTTTTTTTTTTTTTTTTTTTTTTTTTTTTTTTTATACACCGTCATCTCTATTCCGGTGTCCGGCAACTGCCTGTTCCTTTCAGTGGGTTATTTCTTGACACAAACGGTTGACGAAGGCGAAGGCAAAACAGGCAGCTACGACATAGGGCAGCAGATTTCGTTGCATTGACTTGCAATCATAGAAAATGAAAAGTCACCTTTTTTTTTTTTTTTTTTTAAACACTTGGACCCACCAATTATTTTTTTCAAAATACCCGGACCCGGGTTAACAAAACTGCATCCGGTTTAGCCATAGTAAGTAATTAGTAAAGCCGCTCTGAGAAGTTCATTCAATTAATTTCCATTGTGGGTACGGTACTACTAAGTTACAATCACGTGACTATTTTTTTAATTAAAAAATTATTTATTTATTATTATTATTTTTTTAATTTAATTTTTTTTTAAACAAGATTCGATCACGTGACTGGGGTTGATCCGGTTAATTTTTTAAATTTTTTTTTTGGTGCTCCTAATACAGCAATCAGAAACATACCAGTAAATGTTAATTCTGTTCGTCATCTTCATTTTATCTTTGTATTAAAATTAATTAGCGATTATTTTGCACAAACCCTATTGAATTATAAATCTATTTTCCCCAAATGAGATACCTGAATTTGTCTAATACTAATACTGATTTTATAAAAAAAATGCTGGCATTTAATTCAAATATATTTACATATTTACTGTCAACAGTGAGCCAATTTGTAAAAGGGATAAATTTAAGGGGATAAATAGCTTATAGGCCTTTTGGTGGCCTGCCTACATTATGATAACAAATTTAAACACATTTTACAACACAATCAAGATA